CGATGATAGTGAGGTTGAACAGAGTAAGGCTGAGAACCCCGCCTTGTGGAACGCCATGAGCGGTGTAATGATCAATGGTGCGGCCTTCCGCAGTAAGCACGAAGAAGGATCTTCTCTGTAGGTAGCTCCGAATCCATCGAAACATTTCTCCACCGATTCCAATGTTCGCCAAGGCATCTAGGATGGCATCGTGAGTTACGTTGTCCTATGCACCTTTCACATCTAGGAACATTGCAACCGAGATGCGCTTGAGGTATTTCTGTTGTTGCACAGAGGCTACGAGGTCGATGACATTATCAACAGAAGAGTGGTCTCTTCGAAAACTAGCCATGGCCTCTGGGTATATGTTATAGCGTTCAAGGTACCACTTGAAGCATGTCAGAACCATTGTTTTCATTATTTTCCCCACGCAGCTGGATAGCGCAATGGGTCGATATGATGTCAGATCAAGCGGCGACTTCCCAGGTTTGAGGATTGGTACCAAGTGGCTGGACTTCCACCTTTCTGGAACGGCGCCATCGTTCAATGACTAGTTGTAGCATTTTAGTAGCTGGTCTCGGCCGCGTCTTCCGAGATGGCATAAAGCAGCGTATATAATACCGTCCTGGCCCAGGTGGCGATGAACGTCTGCAGGTGGCTAAAGCTGCATTCAGCTCCTCGAGTGAGAAAAGCATATTCAGTTCAGAAATTCCTGCTACAGGAACATCCCCAAGAACTTCGTCACTCAGGGTAACCACATTTCCCGCAATTCTCGCGCAGAATTCTTCAGCAACGTCAACCTGCAGGCGACCTTGATGGAGAGTCAATGTGCTGAATGAACGTTGTTGTGGAGTCGAGCCAAGGCCACGCATCGTTCTCTTTATATGGGACATAGGCTTACCAGGATCGTGTGACTCACAAAATTTCTTCCACCGTTGGTCCTCCGGCTTGTCCATTCAACGTTGGATTTTCTTCTGTAGACGTCGAGCGTCTCTGAGGTCATGAATCGAATTAGTGCGCCTGTACCTCCTCTCAGCCCGCCTACGAATCGTTCGTAGTCGTTCAAGTTCTATATGAAATTCTGTACGCTTTGGTGTGTATTTATTGGCGCACGTAACCTCTTCCATCCCATTTTTCATTACCTACTCGAGGCCGCACGCGTTCTCATCGCATGCCTCTTCCACCTTTTTCTTGTACATTGTCCAATTACCTCTTCGGTTACTTGATGAGGACGAAGTTGCGAAACCTGTGACCTTCAGATACAGCGGAATATGACCACTGCCGTGAGTCTCAATAGTCAGTGAACCATCGCACTTGTTAGGTGAATCGCCGTGACACCAATGCGAGATTTAGGCAACTGCTATATTTCGAACCACGCAAATACGTTCGACTGCCATCATTCATAACGTTAAGTTCGTGGCGTGTGGCAAATTCAGCAAGTTTCCGGCCTCATGGAATCAATCTTTGTGCTTCCCCAAAACAAGTGATGAGCATTGAAATCACCAATAACAATCCAGGGTCCAGTTGTAGCAGTCAAGATGTCATGTAGTCTTTCACCATCGAACTGACCAGATGGTGAGATGTATCGCCGATAAGCATGAAGGCTACCTTCTTCTTTGCAACGCGGAGGCATACGTATTGATTTCCGTTATGGGGTTGCACCAAATGTAGAATGTAAGTTATATCTGTGCGGATATATATGAATACTTTGCTGGGCTCTCTACAAGTCGATGAGGTGAAGGCTTCGTTGGCAGAAAGCTTTATCGCTTTTGACAAATTGGGTTCACATATTACTAATATAGGAAACCTGTTGCGTAAAACGTACTGTCGAAAACATGAGATCTGTGAATTAAGGTCCTCTGGCATTCCACTGTAAAACTGTCGCACTACGTACTTCGTCTCGGAATGAAGGCAGTGAACGAGACATTTTGTCTATGCAAAGTTGGCAAGCACTGGACTCAGGGCATCCAATACTTGCGCTGCACATCGTGCTGTAGGCATGTTTGTTTTGACTATAAGCGTGCGAATGGCATTGATGATAGACTTGATCATCGTCGAAATTTCACGGTCATGCTCTGTCACACATCTTGGCGAGATGCAGAAAGTGGTGCTACCGGTGCACGTTCCAGTTTTTCTGCAGGGGTTATCTTTGGAAGTGATGGCGATGCTTCTTCCAGAACCTCCTTTTCAGGCGCAGCGTTCTCAGTGCACGCGTTCCTTCTTTCCAGTGGTGGTGGTGACGCCGATTCAACGAAAAGAGGCTTTACACAAAGCTTGATACTGTGGGCAGACTTTCTAGATAAAATCATATGTATGTCATGAATGTCATGGTTTACATTTTATGGTGTTGCTGCTCTTGTGGTGATCTCGTTCACATAACATGTAGCAAAACTGGCGTAGTATCACATGATTGCATGACTAACACAAGCTACAGACCCTCAGATGAAAGTCATGACATGCGGGTCATGTAACAACATGACTACATGCCACCTTCATGATGTGCTTGCGGCCATTTCGCTAGCGTCACATATACAAAATTAGGTATTATGGTACGAGAATGGATGACAAACGTATGTGACTGGTGCAAACATGATAATCATGAGATGCGTGTCATGGAACAACGTGACTACATGCCACGCTTATGATGCGCTGGCGGTCGTTTCGCTAGTTTCACCTATACCAAATTTCGTATTTCGGGACGTGAATGGATGATGAAGGTATGAGACTGGTGTTAACATGATAATCATGAGGTGCGTGTCAATTGCCAACATGACTACATGCCATAGTCAAGGCGCCAATACACTTCGACGTGACACGGCATGTGTGTGCGCCGATGTTCGTTTCGTCATGTAACGCCGGCGTTGCCACGCCAGGCGCCACTCCTTCGTATACTCGCAGACGCGCGCCGCACTGCGTTGCTTTGACGCATGTGCGTGTCGGCGCGTCCAGTGTTCCTCCGTCACGAAACGAGGCAGACGCAGTACTATCTAGGTAACGCATCGGCATGAAATGCAGCATGTCGCACTTCGCGCCGGTTGCCATCGGGCTGCGCCGATGGACGCTGTTCGTATTGGTGACGCCTGGCGTAAGACTATAGATTTCGCGCGTTTTGCTAATGTATAGCCTCGCTGTGCCCAGCGTGCGTGTGCCTCAACGTCATGTTGGAGTATATTGGGTCCTTCATGATGCACGCTAGGCTGTTTCGCCAGCTCCACTTATGCCTAATTTGTTGTTACGTGACGTAAATGAATGACGGAGGTATATCACTGCTGCAAACATGTTAATATTGACACGCGTGTCATGTAAGAACCTGACAACATACCACGCTCATATTGTGCTCGGGGCCGTTTCGCTCGCTCTACATATACTAAATTAGGTATCACGTGACTTGAATAGACGACGAAGGTAAAGGACACATCCAAACATAATATACATCATAGTCGTGACACGGATGTGATGTACGGCATCATTTACCTCCGCCTCGTAACGTTGTGCTGATTTTGAAGTGACGTATTGACATTGCTCATTCGTGCTTCGCATATCATCAATTCCCACTGTACGTGCGATCTGCCAATTTTTATACTTTGGACACTGAAATTGTTACCTGCAGTTGGTTGTTTCGGGCACGTTATGCTAACTCCGCGCAAGCTTGCGCACAGCGTTTTATTTCCTGCAATTGAAATGTTACTATACGGGCTATGCTGTCAGATTATTCTAGAATGTTTAACAGGTTTTTTGATAAAAGCTTCCTTACAGCGTTCCTACAGGTTGTAACAACGTATTGGGATATCCTGCGTAAGGTGAATTCACGAAGTCCTCCCTGTACCCTTCCAAGGACCAGCGTTACTAAAGAGTTATGATAACAATTTCCAGAAATATCACAAAAGAAAACAAGGTCAGCATGACATGAGGTACATGACGGATTATTTTAAAACTAGACGATTCTTACATGCGCCCTCCTTATGTCATCATTATTGCCTCGGAGAAACGTTTCGGCATTTTATTATACTCGTTTCGCGATACACTGGTGTAGATTGCTTATATTGCAATTAGCCAAGAATTCATGACAACTAGAAAAAATCATGTTTTCGCCTGCGTATAGCTTCAATGGCGAAGGGCACCCCTCAACTTAACTCGTGGAATGTTTTTCTGTTGAAGCATACTAAGAATCGCTACAGAATGCGATCGTGAAGTCTAAGTTCACTGTAGGATAGGCTGTTAGGACAGAAGCGTAATTTTGTGCTTGCACGCCGAGCTATGGTAAAAACCGGGTTATTAGAATTTTATCTCTGCAGTTTTCTGCCAACAAATATGATTCATGCTAATTGATTTACTAATGAAGCTTTTCGTTACTTTTGAGGGGCTAATTGTCAAGACGAGCTGTGTTTGAAAATAAAACAAAAAGATAAGTTTGCTAAAAATAGGAAATAATAAATACTGACTCTACACTACAGAGCCTGAGTGTTTGCCTAATCAAAAGAGGCCCTTTTGCTTTGGTCGGATAACCCGGACGCCCATGCACACACAAACAAAGACATGCGCGCGAATATTCAGTGTTTCGTGGGTAAGATTTATACTTAAATATTATCCTCTTTTCTAGAGTAATTAAAACATTATATATATATGAGGTGTGTGTCTGCATTTGTCTGCGAGAATGGTATAAGTTAGTAGAAACATTTTCGCTGTTCCAATCGGAGACAAATTTTTTGTCGGAGGTCGGTCTAGAATCAAAACATTGCTCAATAGGCACTTTTAGTGAATGCAATTTGCCTATTCGTGTTGTGTTGCAACCAAATATATATATATATATATATATATATATATATATTGTGTGTATTTGTGTGTTCGTCTATGTGTGCATAAACATCAATATATCTGTTCTGCACGCAGTACACTGACCCTGAAAACCATGCACCCTTTCAAAACGTCGCGGCCCAGACCATCCGGTTTTACGACAATCTTCTCTCCTGTGCCTCTCTCAGCCATTGATGTAAGTTTTACCCAAGCGTCGGTGCCAGGATAAAAACTGGCGGGAGGCCGTCGGGTGCACATCCGCCGCCACTCAAGAAGCTTGCGTAGTTCGCAGTAGGCGTATCCGACGGCTTTCTCACCCTTCCCTGTTTACCTTCACGCCGTTCTCTTCGACGTTCAGGAAACTGCCCCGCCGGTACGGCTCGCACGTTGGTCGACCAAGACGCAAGCAAGTAGCCGTGTATTTGCACTCTCAAGTATTCTCGGTGAGTTCTCTTTTGCTTATAGGCACGGAGCGAGTGCTTTGTATATACACAAAACTTCCGAGTCTCTTTAACAGCAACTCTTTGGCTCTCGAAACGGCATCGAAATGAGCCTCGACGGACTAAACACGCTTGCATTTAGAGCACCATTCACTGTTAAACTGAAACACACTGATGAGCACCTGTTGTATATCAGGGCCTCATAGCTGTGAGTGGATGTAGAAACATGGTCCTGTTCAGCACTACTCTATCAAAAGAAGTCAGAACAGTCCACCAGCAGCAGTCTTGAGCAAATTTAGGCCTCTATGCTTTTGCCAGAGAGCGCAATCCAGACATGGTGCACGTAAAAGTATTCCCTTTAACTGTGAACAGCAGCACGATGAAAAAAAAAGTCATGAAATACTTTCTTTTCATAAACTCTGCTACGCTTTGGCATATACGGCGTTGCGCTGTTCTGTACGAGGGCACCAGTTATGTTCAGAAGCACGATGGAGATGAATGAGTAGGAGGAAAATACAAATGTGTCACGGTACAAACACCAGACGGCGAAACATACTCGTCCCAAGAATAAGCAACAATAACAACAACAAACTGAAGATTTATAGCAAGGCTGTACCTGCTGCACATTTGTTAAAACCATTCACACCTTCAGGACAGCCTGTTTTTTTTCTAATATGAAATAACTATGTACCATTCAGTGTTCATCACAATTTTTATCACATACATGACCTTATTATTACCGTTGGCTTGCTTGCAGCCCTTAATACTTTGAATGAAGCTACAATGCCGTGGTAAAATTTACCTGATTTTATTTAGCGAGCAACTGTGCAGAAGCGGGCCAACGTACCGAACAATAAATTCACGCCCCACGCTTCGAAGTATTCTCTGATACTTTCCTGCAGTTGCTAATTGCCGTACTTCAGAAGGGCTTTACGCTCTCCGACGTACGCGTCTCCAAACTGCCTCTATTACGTGACGCCTCTATTACGTGACCACGTCTAACGCGCAACCGGAAAAACTATCCAGGAGTGAATTTTTGTGTGTGTGATGATTAAGCGGCAGGTGAGCACTTACCACTGGGGTATGTATTTGGACAAAAAAGACAGGATGCTCTGCAAAAGATCTCCTACATGTCACTTCACGAAGTAACCTTCGATAAAGTAGTACCAAGCAACTAACACTGCCACGCTTTGAAGCGAGGCTTATACCAAATAAAAATAATAAAACCCTTAGAGCTCCGTTTAACTGTAAAAAAAACTTCGACTAGAATATGGGCCTATTCGTTTTTAGATGCGGAAGCATCTTATACTCGCGCCTTGTAGTGCGCCGTCCGCACCGCTTCTCGAACATTCGACAGCTGACGCGCGCGCATGCGCCGTCGCGCCGTCGCCCACTCTTCCACCATCTGTGCATCCCTTCCTCCTCTACACACCGCGCGCGCTTCACTCCTCCACCATCTGTGCACCCTTCCTCCTCTACACACCGCGTTCGACATCTACAATTCTCCTGATTCTCCAGTGGACGCGCATGTGGCGTCGCGCTTCGAGAACATTCAACAGCTGACAGTGCATGCGCCGTCGAGCTGTATATATACTCAAGGTCGGCGCTCGCTCGCTCAGTTGCCGCTCGTCGGTTGGCTTGTACGGCGCGTCGACGTCCAAGGTCGCGGTGAAATGAATTCCGACGAATCCACAAACACAATGATCGACGTCCCTTCGACCAGCGCTGCCCTTTCGCATACGTGTGTACGTGTTCACTCATTTAACACCCCCTCCTACAACCACGTTAACCAATTTAGCCATCGACCCAAGTAAGTCGCAATTTAACACCCCATTTCACAACCACGTTAACCAATTCAGCCATCGACCCAAGTAAGTCGCACTTTAACACCCCGTTAACCAGTTATATGCTCCGCATCCTCCTCAGTGTTCCCCCGAGGGAAGCTGCGGGCAATTTTTTTGTTTTGATACACCCTGAGAATAATTTTACCTTCATTATTAAAGAAAACGCTTTCCTTCTCAAACTGCCAATAAGACAGATTTGTGCGTGAGTGTAAGGTTGGCAATAATATTATACTAGTTTACCATCCCGAGGACATTGCATTCATGTAAAATGCGTGTTTCTCATGCAATAAGGATGTTGGTAACAATTTGTTGTCATCTGGCCTAATCTTCATTTTGATTACTGCGTAGCAAATAGTTACAGGATAATATTTTGCTCCATCGATAGTTAAACACAGCAGATGCCTTATTAAGGAGTCTTTTTTTATGTTCCGCTCAATCAATTTTAGACTACCACCGCACAAAGAGCTGATATTCTGCTCTTTTCTTTTCATCTTGAATAACCACAAGAATATGCGGCGTTAAGCTACTGAAAAGTCCTAAAAGTAGCACAAACGTCGATTTATGCTTTATGCCACCGACCATCATTACACCATTCCCCCAAGACGAAATGGCGACGGCAGATGCCTAGGTGGGAAATATCGTAAATGAAAATCGCTGTAACTGGACGAGGAGCATGAAAGAGCGAGAAAATTACCATACTTGGTATGAGAATGCATGCAACGGTTACTGGAAGTAACGTTTGAGTAAGTGGTTCACTCACAACTTCAGTTGAACTGCGCAAAAAAAAACGGGTCCAGTAATGAAACACACACGCCAAATTAATATGAATAATACCAAAACAGATAATGATGATCGAATGCTGCACAGATGGACATGAAGTGCATAACAGATAGCTAGAATATATACACAATAATTGTTTTGTTCAACACAGAAGTAAAATTTTAGTTACGAGTGCCTTAAGCCACATTAAAAGCAAAGAAACAAGAAATCAAACAAAGATGATTAGGGAAAAACACAAATACACTCTCTGAAATACTCACATGGCCTACCATTTACACCAATAAAAAGCATGAAATACAACATAGGAAAGCAGGGAACATAAAACAATCGACAAGAAAATTCAATGTAGCTTTAATTCATTGTCTTTAACCTGGTCATTCGTTGGAGACTCTGCTATTTATATCTAGAACGTTTTTCGTGACGTAGTCGTAATTATGTAAGGTTGTGTGGTAAAGTGGTTTTATATCAATCCTCATTTACTTAAGTTGGTTGCAGATATAGTATAACAATGCAAGCAGAGTGTCTTGGTATACAAATGTCTCTGTACCACATGCAGGAAACCATGTCTTCCTTGAGTGTGACAGCGAGTGGAATAGCAGTGGCCCTGGTCGCTGCTTTTGCTTGCTCCGCAGCCAATCCTGTGGGGCTCGTGGGTGGGTGGCAGAAGCATAACTTTGCCGATGAAGCCATATTCGAGGAGCTGGCCCATTACGCCGTCTCACAACAAGTCGACGGCCGAGAATTCTTCGATACCGTGCTCGAGCTCGTGGACGTTGAAACGCAGGTACGAAGCAGTGATTGCGCTGGTGTGACTACCTTTTTCTATGTTTACCCTCGTCTACAAACTGAGGCATTTATCTATTTAATAATTTGTAGGCCAATGCGGAAAATTTTGAGACCTATTTTTTAAGGAATTGTGTACATCAAAGACACTCTGTCATGTCCGACAGTTCATGATCTAGGTCTGCTAAAACTCGTAAAGTTATATGCGACTGTGCATACATTCCACATATGCAATAAAGTGTAACGCACAAAGTAGATGGCATAAGTGCCGCGAAAACGTCAGTGTATTACGATGTACCAGAAAATGCCCAGTTTGTTTCAATACCATAGGCTACAATATGCATGAGAAGCATGTAGTGTTACTTTGACGAAAGTGACCTTGCGAAAAAAATGTACCTAACCAAGCAAAGTGATTCGACGCAGGGCAATGCAAGCATCGTGAAATTTACATAAACGCGCTCTTGTTTTCCAACGCTCTAATTGATTCTCGTATTTAATGACCATTAGTCCGGTAGCTTTTTCATATCGGCAGCGTGGTTATTCAGCTTGGTTATTCATCTTTGAAGCAATGTAACTTATCGTCATCATAAGCCTGACTACACCCACAAAAGGACAAGAGCCACTCCCCACCTAACCCGGTCCAGTGCTTTCAGCTGCAACACTGTCCCCGAAAATTTTTTAACCTCATCTGCTCCCCTGTTGTTACATTGCTCTATCTCGCGCTTCCCATCTCTTGTAATCCAGTCAGACGAGCAATTATCCTGCATTTGCACAACGTGCCTGCACCATGTCTATTTATTTCGCGTTAACCTTTCATTTTTTTCACGTCCTGTGTAAATATTTCTGTTTTGCGCATAACCCTGCTGTATCGTAACTACCCCCCGCCCCCTCAGTAATTCCCAAACGGGCCTTTATGGTGTATGAATAAATAAATGAATTTCAACTATGGCATCCTTCACGGAACAAACAGGAGTTTACGAGAGTTTGTTTCCCGACCAACTGTGCTGTTTTTTTCTCTCTTAAAGTTACACCTTTGATTTCCTTTCCATTACTCACTGCGCCATCCTCAGTTTAAGGTAAATTCTCTTTGTAAACCCCAGGCTTCTGCGTAGCCTGGATAGCATGTTTGATGGCCGCAGCAATGTTTTTTTAGTTTACCGAAGACATTCAATATATATATATATATATATATATATATATATTTATATATTTGAGGACCATGTGCGCATATATTATTCGTTTGCTGCTCTAGATGTGTATTTAGTTCGCACTTCTGGTTCGCACTTCTTTCGAGTAATTGTACAGCCGCGGCCACGTCTGTGTAGAGCACTCGAGCAGCCGGTTTTTGTTCTGCGGGCCAAAACCTTGAGGCAGTTTTGGGCTCTGAAGTGGTGCATCAGAAGCATGCACGGCCTAGTTGTCAGGCTGACCACGTCAGAATCTGATACTGCCCCAAGGATTCACCCCGCAAAGCAAAAAGCGGCTGTTAGCGTGCTCTACATAGACGTGGCCACGGCTGTACGCCATGTGCTCAGAGTTTTATGAAGTCGTAAATTTGCATGAAACCACCTACGTAAGCTAGAACGGTTTCACTTGTGCCGTAAGAAAAAATTTGTTGTACACTCAACTTCGCGAAGAAATTTAACTACAGGGTGCTTCCCGAAATCCACACGAGCAATAACAAAGTATCACTCTGACGAACTACAGTCGCATATAAATAGCCGAAGCGATTCACCCACAGGTCAGGCTTTAGGTAAATGTAGGTGCACGCCACCGTCGTCGCGCGCAGTATTTTTTAGCTGGGCGCATGCCGGTTGAAACCGGTGTTTACTTTTAAACTAATTCTTTAGGGATATCTGACTCTCTTATCTAATTTTCTACACATTGACACAAAGTTTTTTTTTTTAATTTCGTTCACTGACATTAGCTGTTCGCTTATTCCCTTAAACCATCAACCTACATTTTGGTCAGACGCCAAGTTATCACCCAATTTCATTTTATTGATAACCATTTGCTAGTTTATATTGGCAGTCCCCAATTTATACGGCTTCATTTTTGTGAAAGCACATAAGCTTCATCTAATATTTTCGTAAAAATGCTACGAGAAGCTGCAAAGTTCACTTTTCACTGGCGCGTGAAGTGTACAAGTTCTGCAATGCAGTGTGAAGCGGTTTACTTTGCTTTGTACGACTAACAACATCAGAGAGCGCCGAGCGTTAACGGGAAGGCAGTATCGCTTTCAAGTTAAATTTTCGTCGAAAAGCACTGAAGTTTAGCGAGCCTCTAATCGTACATACTGGAATTTAGAGTGCGTAAATTGACAAGAAAGGAAAAAGCACTCATCTGTACACTTCAGTTTTTTGTTTCTTGACTGTTTACGCGCTTTAAATATCAGCAAGTTGTTTTTCGTCATAGCACAAAATATACAAGTGTTTGCTTGCATTTCACGATCAACTGTAACTGAAAACTGTAAGCCGAACACTTTAGTTTTTAGGGAAAAATTAAAACCCTTAAGCTTTGCGTTTAAGAGTTGAACATCATAGCGATATTCTGCTACATGTGCGTCTTCAAACGCTAAGTGTATTGGATCTTTTCGAACTTGCTATGCACCCACTACGTGGCCTTGAGGCTGCCGTACCGTGTGTGCCTTTTGTAGTGTGCGACTGGCTTTAAGCTATGAAGTCATAATGATAATCCCATGTTCTGACGTTCGATGGCGATGTGCGCATGTACCACGCATTATTACGGCAATATTTCCTGTTGTATTGTGAAGTATGTGAACAGGATGCACGTGTTTGTGAAGCATGAAAGTTACTTCCACTGCAAATTGAAGCAGATATTTTTCTTTTTATTGTATTCAAAAGTAGAGACCTGGTTTTGTTGTGGAACACCTGCGTGCCACGCAAAAAAAGCAGGTTTATTACCCACTTAGAAAAGAATTATAACTTATTTTATTTGCTTATTTTAAATTTTCTGACACACCAAAATGCTCTATTTTTTGGTCACGCAAGGATGATGATTTTTCCCTCGCAACCCACGACTCCGACGCAGACACCAGAATTTCTGCGAACTGAGCTGTTTAACGCTATTACGCTAACACAACGTTGGCTTTAATGAGCCTGATACAAACAAAACGCAATCACAACACAGAAAGGTATCTCGAAGGCCTCTTCTTTTCTGAAGCCTAAGAGTGTCATAGAGTGCCAACCATCTTCTGTTGTGCTACTATATATATCAAATCAGTTTTTTTTATTTTAAAAGGTCGTAAAACGTTAAGCGCTTTGCAATTCCTTGTAAAATCTTGAACTACGCTTTCAGGCAGATGTTGCCAGTTTTGCAAATGCAAGTGGTGGGAGGATGGTATAGTGATACATAAGTCTGTCGGCATGAACCTCAGTAGCATCATGTTTAAATTATTTTTACGGTGCTTATGAATTAACATAAAAATCTCGAGCATGACTGAAGTGAACAGTACAAGCCCTTTTTGATGTCATACAAAGTACTCCAATATGGTAATTCACAGGTCGTCGCCGGCAGAAACTACCGGCTCAAGTTCAAGACAGCTGAGTCCACTTGCCGAGTGACCGAGTCCTACAAACGTGAGGCCTGCCTTCCAAAGTCCCGAGAGGTAAGTGATACGCAATAAATGCTTGTTGGCCAAAACACTGATTGAATAAGTTTTTGAATCTTGTTCTTTAAATAGTCTTTGAACATTACAAGCGAGAAACACACAAGTAACAATTTTTGTGTATATGTCTTCTTTTACAAAAAAAAAGAACCGATTTCATTACAGTTTTAAGTCTACTGCATGGTGTAGACTCGGTACACAGCAGCGCATAATCAAACATGAAGACCAACATATAGGTGCGCAGTACCAGTACTGCGGTAGAGTGGCTGACAGTCCCTTTATGGTTTGGGCCTGCCAAGTGAATCCAAAATCAACAACAGTTTTTAACACCACCAAATATGACTAGAAGGTGACCATGTTCATTCTCTCAAAACGATCAAACTGGAGTCCGGTGGGCTCGGGGTGGGGCTTCGACTAATGATGTCCCGGACTAGGACTGTCGGCCATTCTGACGGGCGTAAGGGGTATCTGGCATCGGCAGCCTAAATAACTGTTTTAGTGGCAAAGCACCTTAGGGACTAAGCTTTCCGTTGTCCGCTGTGCGACGACCGGCGCATTATATGGGAGGTGCCCGCTATACACCCACAGCAATTTCAATAATGAAGAAAATCACCCCTTATGGATGGACGAATGACACTTTTATTGTTCAGCCAGATAAGGAGGCCCCCTACTCCCCGTCTTCGGTACACATGCCTAGGGGACAAGGGCCGGCACCTCCACGAATAAAAGCAGGCGAAGAGGCTCTGACTACTCGCGCCTCTATGTCATTCGTCATTGTGCTCATAAATGGGGTACTCGCCACACATCAGTGAGGCATCATGTGCGCTTTGGATGTGGCTCATGAATAAGTGCGTTCCAGACGGCCCATTTTCTGTCGTTAATGAATGAAAACAAACCTGCACGTTTTCTAACCCACGAAAGGCAATGCCGACGCAGAAAATAAGCTAGCCCGGAGGAGAGACATGGGAAGCAGCGGGAAAATGACAACGCCGACAACAAGCTGCTACTCCAAAAAACAGAGCGTGGCACGCGGTCACTCATCGTATGCGCAGAGAGCAAGCTATCCCTGAAGAAAGAGCTCGGGCAGCAGCGATTAGTCACTCTGAGGCTCCTGTTCATGCACAACAGCCGTTTAACGCAGGGCAACTAGCTGTACGAAATCAAATGTCATGAGGCCAACGCCCCCGATAGGCACTTAGAAGACGACTGTGGGCAAAGTTCTTTATTAAAGAAGTAAAATATCTTCTGAGTATACGATGAGAAACTGGACTGCGTGTATAGGTCACGCAAATCTCACGGCTTTAGTATTGCGGCTTTACCGCTATATTACACTGTTGTGCCATTCTCTGTACGCATACGTTCTTCAATGGCGAGCGTACGTTGGCGTTCTCACGCAGCCGTCTGAGCGACCGAAAATGTAAAAAGAATGTAAACCACTGTCCTTACAGCCCGACTCGTTAGATGCCGCTACGGGTGCATTATCATAACAATGACGATTTTTGACCACAGCGAGACGCGAGAGCTGTTATCTATAAGTATTCGGTATATTAGGGCATGATCTACAACTAGTAGACAACATTCAGGCAACACACATTCTATAAAGACACCAGTTGTTGTGCGTGATGCCCTACAGTATACACTTCTATGCCGGTGTATCCAGCGCAAACAACACGTCATCAGGATACATTTACTTTGAGTCATCCATTACGCAAAGGGACACTAAAATGAAACATTGAACTGTTTTATACTAAGAAAAAGTTCCTTGAGCACTTTTAGGTCGTAAATTTTACCACCACAGGTTTATTTAGAGTAGAGAGAATAACTGGTCTTGGTTTCATGTTTAAAGTGCTCGCCGTTATGCCTCCACGTGACGCCATGGATTTCAAAGCATATTACTGATGTTTTGGCTGCATGCCATGAACAAAACTTTCTGATACTTGGTATTTTAGTTGCATGCCCCCCTTAGATGACAACGTTTTTCGTCTTTACTTATTGAGATTTACGCGCGATCCAGGAGACATCATCAGATTTTTTGAAGTCATAGTGTTCGGTGAAGGAAGTTCAAGGTGGCATCACCACCTACATAATTGTTTTGCGTGTTTACTTGATTACCAAGCGCTTTCTCTTGGCGAGCTTCTTCAATCTGCTATTATGAAAGACTGATTTGCAATCCCAAGACCCATTTTTCTATCGATTGCCTCCAGCTAACCCTCACTTTAGATGGTACTTTCGGACGATGGAAAAAAACCACGCCCGAAATCTAAAAGCCAATTTCCACATGACATCGCTGTCATGAGAGACATTAACATATTCTTTAAAACAGTTGCTCTTCGGAAAATTTTGATGGTCCCTGTCATTGTTTGTATAATTACTCCGCTATTTGTTAGGGTTCTTCTCATGCGCTACCGCTTAGAACACTGAACGGGCAAATTTTGCCAGCCCGAGCCCGGCCCGTTTCAGTCAGTTATGCCTTTCCTATAAACGATGGACTATCCTCTCTTCGGATATTGTGAACATATGTGCCTCACACGAGATGTATTCTGCTGAGTGTTTTTGCACTTCTTTCAGAGTCACGAATCTAAGTAGTATAATTTGAATACTTTGGTTATTTACGCTTATAAAACTTTTTCGAAATGATTGAAGGATCATATAAAATGTAACTGTAGTCATAGCTGAGTGTCCCATGTAGGTAGTCCTAACAGCATAATGTTAATTTGAAGTTTAATATAATGACTGCAAAATATACTAGCCTAATGAACTGAAAAATATAGCAGAACGTTACAGTTTGAGTTTATTGGGACGTTAAACCCCAAAAATCAATACAGTTTGAGTTTACATAAATTGCACGCGAGCCGAGGCTGCTGAGTAAAAGCACTACGTCTCTGTCAAACGCATTATTACGCTATGGAATAACAAAACATGCTCTACTTACTTCTGCGAAGAACATACTCAGCGGAGCAGCGTTACATAAATAAACTTGTAGGGTCAAATAGTCGGCTGTCTCCAACGTGCACTTTTCGCTCTCAAACCAAGAAAGCAATTTTCGCCACCTTTCTTCACCAATTTGCTGCATCGCATTCCTATAGATCTGTCAAAGCGAGCATCACCCATTAGCAAGTGAACCAGCGTTCTCGTTGTTCCCTCAAGATTCTTATCTGGACGTTTTCTTTTACGGCGTGCGATATTTGAAAGTTTGATATTGTTGTAAAAAAATCTTTGAAGCTTTTATTGGCACTCAGCGCAGTCACATTTACAACATGGTGCACGCTTGCACAGCCAAGAAAGAATCAAGCCTCTGCCCCACTGCTCTTATTCGTCTCTTCAGTGAGTGTAACGCGCATTTTTCGCAGTCTTAAAGCAAGGTCGTACTCAGGGTATGCAAAACAACTGTCAATCAAAGACATAAGTGAAGCAGTCGCCAGCTTCTTTAGAGTGCTCACAGTCAAGCATGGCGAGTCGAGTCCGGAGCACGTACCCCAGTAGGGACCGGAAGTAGAAGAACCCATTCACCAATGGCCGAAAGCCTCGGTGCTAGCAGTGAAGCAAAGTGCGGCTCTGTTTGCAGCCTTTCAGTTCGCGGAAGCGGCAATGCAGGCGGAGATGTATGGCAGAAAGGAAAAAGCGGCGACTATAGTGGGCAAGAAAAGGTGAAGGATATAATCAGAAAGAAGTAGCATGTGTGCCAGAGCTACTTCGACGAGTCAAGTGACAGGTATTCTTGAAATCTTTAACAAACTTGTGGTGCGCAGTGCATGTAGCCCTCTCGAGTGCCTATTGGAGCCACTGTGCAGCTTGCGAAACTATGCCACGCCAGCACGTTGGTATTCTGCAGAGACTAAGGAAAGCTAAGCGCGTGCAGTCTGTGTAGGTAAAACATTTACAGGAGTTGGGGCTCATGTATCCAGTTTGGATGTGTGCTATTTATTCGTTATACCCCAAGACATCAGAAATTGAGGCGAAAAGTCTGAATAAATAAAAAATCCCAAACTCCGGGTGCCGAAGCAGCCATAGGACATTTATGCAGTAAAATGTGCCAATACATCCATGCCTCGACAGCCTTCACGCCTTCTTTGAAAGGGTACAACAGGAAATAATCATTTCCATAATTTTCCTTATGCAGCGCTCTTTGTCCGCGGGAGGGCTTTCTCGTTCTTGATTGTGATGAGAACACTAGAGCCTCGAAAAATGGGGACGCCTATGACATTCTGTTGAAATACAAAAAAACACGAAGGTTGTCGTAAATATGAGCAAAAATGTGTTCTGTATCACGGGAAATCTAGTTACATAGTAAAGATTTTTGGATAAGTGCCAAGTGCAAAATATATTCAGCTCCTTTGCTAGCACAAAAAATCAGCAACATATGCACCGATTGGCGCGCCTGTGACAAGAATCTTTCTACATGTAGCACTTAAACGGCACCAACAACAGCTCCGGAGATATTCATCACTCGCGAATCGCGTCTACGGAGCACGCAGGTGGTAAAGGGTGTGGCGGGCATGTGAGCTTATACTTGAATTTTTTTCCTACATACAAGAGTGCACATCTTGTTCACAAGAAATAACGTTATAGTGACTACCGTTGCTGTTGCAGCAGCACGACCTGGCAAACCATTCCGTACCATATGCATGAGCGTCTTTCACTGACTATAATTGAGGGGACCTATATTACTATTTTCTTCGAATTATGTGCAGCTTATACCGACAGGAAGAAATGCTAGATGCCTTATACTTTACGTTTTCAGTGCATCCCAATGCACTTCAGGTAGTTTAACTTAGCGAAAGCCCTCACTTACGACATATTACGTAATATGGGCCTCTTCGGATTGTAAAATTTAAAAAATAACACAAACAGCGTAGAGGTGCCATTATATCCATGTAGCGCTTTTCATCGGAGGCATAGCGCTGTTCATCAACCATTCTATGTTATGTAACATTGTTATTGAACTTGAATGTATTACGCCAAGTGTTGAGCGTTTCGTTGTAAACTTAATGATGTGGTTC